ACTTGAACCGATATTGACGAAGTCCAGAGGGCCCGAGTCTTGGTGCAGTACAATCCCCTTGTCCGCGTGTTGGATGCAGCACGCAGTTGCCCTTTGGACTTCGAGGTTGAATGCTAAGTGCAGCACCTCGGCATATCCAGTGACATTTCAAGGATTCCATCATGCCATGATACCGGTTAGACCAGCAAGCCATTGATCCATTGATGCGTCAGGAAACCCCAAACCAGCGCGGCGATTGGAAGTTGACATTCAATCGACTGCGTACCTTGCAAGGGCCCGTCAGCAAGCGAGAGACTAAGGTAAACCGGCTCGCAATTTCACCAAACATGCAGCATGCATTTCGTGGGACGAACCCCGTCTCCCTCCCCCACTCCGCCCTTTCTTTTTCCGTCCCTCAGAGTGTATAATCTTGTTCTTTGTTCTTGTTCTTCTTTTCGGTGGCGGCGCTGAAACGTGGATAAGCGAGCAAGAAAAGAGGGGGGCGCCGATGCAACGCGGCGAGATGACGAGCTGGATGTGCCCGTCTTCAGAATACCGAAATCAAGCCACCTCGGTAGAAAAAAATGGTGTCCTTTGCTTTTGCCCATTTTCTGATCCCCTCGGATGGACGCGGCGCGGGGAAAGAGTCGGGGTCAGGGACTGGATCTTGTGCAGGCGTGCGGAGCAGATCCCCTCAGGTTACTCGTTGGGGTACACACACACACGAGCATTGTCTCAAGTGTGTGGTGTCGACGATGCTCATGTTGGGGGAGGAGGGGTTCCAACGGGCTCTGTCTATGTGTTCTCTCTTGCTATCATCCCACTCTGTTCCCCCACTCTCTGGGCAGGAGGGCAAGATTTGGGAGGGCTCAACGTGCGTCCTCGTCTATTTAATCGTGTACCAAGTTACTTTCTGTGGAGCCCAAGCGTCGTGAATCAATTGGAGAAGGGAGAATCAATATTCAGAAGCCTCGGCGTCAATCTAGGCCAATTCCAACAAAGTACGTGGACCGGAGTTGGTCTCTATTCGTACATGTAGGAATCGACCAACGTTATCATTGAAAAGGAACATATTCGCCCAGATAAAACAGCTGATAAAAGAGAGTAAAGACAGGAGCTACATAAGCGGGTCAATTTACAGCATATCCGAATCTTTGAAGAGGTAATGTATGATAACCACCAAGTCGCTTCTTGGCCCAACACGGCAAAGAAGAAGAACAGAGCCAGCCCAGCGTATCAAAGGGGCTGATTCTCTCTATCTGTTCACAAACATCCAAATTGGAGACCAAAGGAGGGAGAGGACCAACAAAAGAGGGAGCAAAGCCCCTCCTTTGCTCCAAAATCGTCGCTTGCGACTTGCTATTGGTCGCTTGTCTGTTCCCCCTTCCCATCAAGCCGGGTTCTGTTTTAAAGTGGCTGCATGCATCCCCAATCGAGTGGTCTCAATCAGCCCTGGGAATGACGAGCGAGTGTGGGAGAAGCATGCACCTCGCCCACCATGGTCCATTTTTTTGCCACTTGAATGAGTCGCATCCTCCACGTTTAGTGATGCCATCTATCCGCTTCTCCACACACACACACACACACACATACGCTTCCAATCTCCTCTGTCCCTCGCCTTCCTCGAGCACTCCTATCCGCGCGCACAATACCCTTCTCCGCCGTCTACCCGAAGAGACAAGAACCCATGGCTTGAAGTTTTCCTTCCTCGGCGCAGGGAGCCGCTCGTGTTTAATGATAGTAGTCGAACTCCTCGGAACAATCGAGTCAAAGGCTCAGGTGTCGTCGTTGAAAGGTTGTTAGATTCGTATCGGGCGAAGAAGCACGCAGCTTCTTTCCGACAAGAAATCGTGGGGATTCTCCAACTGAGAAGACTACAAAAGGAAAGAAGGGGGCAAAAATGCCGCAAAAGGATACACTACCGAGCTCCAACACCTTTTGACATGCCGTGCTCGAATAGCACTCAGCCCTCTAAGCTGAAAATAGCTCTCTTCCTAAATCCCATCAGACCATCCCTCCCCGATGAAAAGCCTCCACATTAGCTATCAACATGCCTGCCCCTTCGTCAAAAGACCCGCGCTAGGTCGCCAAGGTCCCCCAAACGACATCGGGGGCACCTGTCCGGGCATTTAAAGCATGAAGGAGACGTTCTCGCTACCCTCTTTTCTCCCCTTCGCTTGAGTCCCACGTGTGTATATGTGAGTGTGTAGACGGTCACTACACATGATGGATATAATAGATGCGTATACTTTGGTATACTTACCCGGTTTACATCGAATACTACCTACTCTCCTGGCGCGCATGGTTCCCCGTACGCTGAAGAGCTGACCCGACATTAAGCAATGCCGGACATTTACTTGTCTATTCAAAATCGAGTACATTTTTCTCGCGTTTGCCTCTTCCGGCCATTCTCCTCGAAGCAAAAAGGAGCATGGGGTTTGCTCTTTAAAAATAAAAAAACCTCCGAGCCGTGTCCCCCAACTAACACTTTGCTATTCCTACCTACCTGTCAATGTAGTATGGACCCATGGATACATGGACCCGGAATTTATAGATGTACAAACAGCGTCACCCAGCAAGAGGCCCGCATAAACTTCAGGAAATTGGCCCAAACCCGGAGACTCCCCTCACCAGCTCCTTCTCTCCACAAAAAAGGCTCGGGGACATTTGATTGAACGATGATTGAGGGTGAGACTCCTCCCTCGACAACATATCCCGAGATTGAAGTAACCTTCCCTTCACGACTGGTCTTCTCTTCGCTTACATGTACGATCCGGCTTCCCACGCAAGGCCCAGCGCCAGCCCATCCATCCCCCTTCTGCAAACCCACAACGATCAATATATTCCCCCTACTTAAGCGAAAATAGCTTACTTCGCTTGTCCGAAGAAAAAAAGAGTAATTCAGGGCTTAAAAAAGAAATACGGGTCTGAGAGGCTGAACAAAACCTAGGCTTAACACCAGTCGTCGTCTGTGAACCAGAACGCTCATAGGTTTCGCACTGCCGATGCACCCTCGGGCGATGTGGGGATAGTCTCTCGCAATTCTTCCCATTCATCAACCTCACCCAATCATTCATCGTCGAGGTCGCCCTCACTCGTGGCGTGAGGTCAGAAAACCTCGGTGCCTATAGACCCGTAGTATTCTTCCCCGTTTCCCCCTACACCCCCTTTAAGATCAGAAATAACTTGCCAAAAGAACAATGGCCGTACGCCCTTCAGGACGAGCAAGAAAGACCATTAAACTCCCCGTTGTAGCCAAGAGAGAACCGCATGATAACTAACCTGCTCTCGGTAAGCTCGGTAAAGCAGGGGCTCTCTATCTCTCTCACCTTTTCCTGTGCTCTTTCCCCCGTCCCTCTTCTCTCTAATAACACTCCTCCACACTGCTTGACCCCAGTTTGCTCCCATCCCCTGCCTGGCGCCCTCCACGCTATGTCCCAACCACGCCCTTGGAGCACCCAATATTTCCTCCCAATCCTGCCCTCCGCGTCCCCTTTCGGAAACCGGGATACTGGACCTATACTAGACCTCACCCCACCGAATCACGACATAGATGAACGCAAAGCTTTGCCGAAGCGTAGGAATATCCACAGCCTCTGATATCTGTGATTCCACCTCACCCCCTCCCTCCTCCCCCTCGCGCCCGACGCTCTCTTTCAGCTCGCCATCCATAATGCATTCTTTCCATATCCCACTCCGGTCGTAGAGTTCCTAAACCCCGATGTAACTCGTGTCTACTCTGCCAACCTCATCCCCCACGCGTCCTATCCTAAAGATATCCCCGGGCTTGACTCCAACGGAGACCTGATTCCTTTCTTCACCCCCTTTCATATTGGCTACATTTTGCTCTCTCCCATGGGGGCCTTGCCTTATAAGTATATGGCACTTTGTAAGAGTCGAGAAGTGAACAAGTCTTTGCGAGTAGAGTTTGATTAAAAAGCTGGACGGGAAGTAGCTTCAACTTCCCCCATAGTGTATCCTATCAAAGTAGCTGCTATAATAATAAAAGAAAAATAGAGAAAAAGGAAATAGAAAGCAGAAAGGGGTAATCAGAAGAATATTGAAAGAAAAAAGGAAAACGGAAAAAGATAAGGATAGGCGAAACTCAAGGAAAATCGGTTGGGAATAGGGTTCGCATCCTCAAAAACAAACAAGTCCACGGCTCCCCCAAGCTCAAGAGACCGACCTCCCTGGTGACGTTCATCCTGTATTACAGTCATATTCCAAGTCATTTCATTCCGAGACTGCCCAAAGAGAAGGAGAGGAAGAATGAGAGAGATAAAGAGGTAATGGAAAGGAGAGAAAGAGAGAGAGAGAGAGAGAAAAGGAGTGAGTGATGCGCAAATGTGCGCGCATGGTGTATATATGTTCGAGGGATAAAAGTAGGTTGCTTCTCCTGCCAGACACGTCTCCTCCTCCCCGTGTACATGTAGCGCAAATAATAATAATAGTAATAACCGTCCACAAGGAAATTCTGGCCCAGTCGTAAATAAACCAAGAAAACTTGTCATCAGAGCATCATATCCATCTCTTTCTTTTTCGTGTCCGAGCGAGACCATCCCTTACCTCGCCAGGTCAGCATCGTAATCATCATCGTAATCCTCCTCTTGCTTTCAACCCGCCGTGATACTTTTTGCTTTTTCAAAGTCCAAATAAGATTTCAATAGTAAATAGTAGCGAAATAAGGGGGGTATGCCCCTTCAACCGTGTTAGGGGTCAGAGATAAAAGGAAAAAAGGGAATAGCCGTAAACCAAGGACAGGGCCCGGTTATAGATCGAGTTGATAGGAAAGAGGGATGCGGAAAGTGGCCGGGTGGTATCGTATAGCTTGATAAAAGGAAAAAAACAAAAACCAAAAGAGAAAACGGACAAAGGAAAAAGTATGGTGTGATGACAAAAGGAAATGATCTCGGAATTGGATAATGATGGACAACAGCCCTCACTATCCCATCCAAGACCTCGAGTCAGAGATGTTGCAGCAGCTTAAATCATGCCCGGCATCCCGCTTTCTACCGGTACCATCAGATGGCTGGTTTGAGGGATTGGCCTTGGGGAGGCACCAGCTGTATGTGGTGTTGCTGTTGAGACTGGTGGTGGTGCGCTTGCTGCTGATGCTGGTGTTGATGTTGATGCTGTACATGCTGAAGAGCCATCTGTGGAGGCCCTTGGAGCTGCATCTGGCTTTGCGAGGGAATGGGCATCAGACCGGCCGATATCGGGTGGACGGGTAGACCAGGAGTCATTGGCTGTGGAACTTGATGTTGGGGAGTGAGAGGAGGCTGATGCTGGTGCTGATGGGGGTACTGGTGATGGGGTTGAAGTTGCAAATGGAGCTGAGGCGGCGCCTGCGCCTGCTGTGGGGTCAGAGGCTGTTGCTGCATCTGGTGTTGTTGCACGTCAACCGTCGACTTCGACAGGGTTAGCGGTGCAGCCAGAGTCCGTGTCGTGCTCTCCCTGCGACGCTTGGGAGCATCCTTGATCTTAGGATGAGTGTGACACTGTGAAGAGCGTTGGTTAGCATGCCGTCTACTATAAAAAGGAGGCCAACTCCCAAATCTGCATGAACCGCCAAAAGACTTACCTTGTATGCGTGCCTGAACCAAGTTGTTCCCTTCTTCTTGCTACTGACCAGGGCGATCCATTCGTTGCAGCTACCGCAGAGGCCTTCCCAGACATCTGGGTTACCATCCATCCGTCTTGTCTCTTGCGGCTCTTGGAATGGGCTGCCTGTCGCCGCGCTGATGCCATGTGTAAATGATTTGTCGTACCAGAAGGCCGAGTTCTTGAGTACTAGCCAACGGCCGGGCTTGCAAATTCCGCACCAACCCTCTCTCTTGTTGCCGTGGCCACGTACCCAACGGGGTGTATACAGATCACCTTCAAACCGAAGCTCCTGCTCATGGGGAACAAGGTCCGGATCCGAAGGGTTCATGTCTTCCGGCGGCGGGGAATTTGCTCCTCGTGCAGGGAGGCATAGAGGTCCGGAGGGTCTGAGAGATCGGTGTAGTGACTATGGAGGGCATGGGGATCTGCGTTACTTTGAAGCATGCGGAAGAGGCCATGCGAAAGTAGGGGCGGGGGGCCTCGAAATGGTGATGTGCATCAGGATGGTACCCGTGGGCATGCGAAGGCAATTGTGATGGAAGCTGCGAAGGAAGCAACATGCTGTTGCGGAAGGCCGGTGCTCAGGCATCAAGTACGCATGCTGTTGCGCCGCCTGCAAATTGCCATAGTTGAGTGGCAGATGGTTGCTTGGGATGGTTGGGGACGAGTGCCTCGACGACATCCTCTGATGAGCGGCAAAGAGCTCGCTTCCAGGGTGGTACACAAACGGCGATGGCCGCCTGTTAGGACCGGGTCCATAGGAGCCCGTGGACCACCGCTTGTTCCTCGCAGCATCCACGCTATAAGGGGCTGTCCTCATGCCGGGCCGAGGCGATGGGGAGGCTCTGCCGCGGCTATGCGTCCGTACGAGCTCCGATCGGCTTTGAGGAGTCATGCGCGGAGATGCAACCGGCGACAGCTGGGTTGAGGACATGAGCGAGTTCCTGTTCGAGGTAGGCGGGTATTCGGATCCAAAGGAAGGCGCCTCTGAAAGCGCAGCCGAGAAGTCCTCGTAGGAAGCCATCTCCGATAGACCACCCGAAGTCGACATGGTAAATGACGAACCAGACATGCGGCGATTGTTCATGTTGGTGTCTAGGCAAAGGGGCTCGCCTTCGGAGTGATGATGGCTTTGATACCTCAAATCTAGAATCGGGATGGCCTCGTCTGTGGTGTATGCCTGGCCAATGTTCATCTCACCGTCCAGGTTGGGCAGTTCATAGGGATCTTCGCAGGGCTTTTGGTTCCAGGGGTCTATCACATAGGTTAGGTCTGAATGCTAGATGTAACTTGCAGTTTCCATTGAGAATGCGAGGGCCACTTACTCGACTCTAGTGTCGTCGGTGTGTAGTACTCCTGGTGCATTGAGATTGGGCGCGAGGAGACGGTATCGCTGGGTGTCTGCTGAAGAGATAGAGATGATGAATCCCATTGGTGAATCCCTCCGTACTCCTCTCCCAGGCTATACGAAAAGCCTTCATGGATAGTGGCTGGCCGAGGTCGCATCTGCGAGGTTGGCGTTGTCCAAATGCCGGCGGTCGCCATAGCCTCCGACTTCACAGGCATTTCGCTGTCGTTCATTGTGACAATAGGTGTGGGCCGCGGGGTGTGTTCCCTCTTGAGCTTGTTCTCGATGGGGCTCGAGGTAAACTCTGTGGGAGATTGTTGTATTTGTTGTTGACTATACGTCGTAAGCATACTTGTCTTCCTGCGCCATCCAGAGTACTGGGGCGACCTACCTTAATGTTTGAGTAGAGTCCATGGCGGATTCTCTAAGACGCACGCAAGGAGTGTGTGAAAGTGGGATGGCAGTGCTTTCTTGCAGCCGATGCCCTTGAATCGAAGCTTTCCTGTTAGCACTGATTTTTGAAGACGAGTTGGCCCAAAGAAAGCCATTAACACGGGGAGACTGATGCAGTCGCGCGGGAGGCCACTCAGAAACTGAACGACTGAGATGCGATCAACGACGGATGTGGCGGCGCATAATCGAGCATGTTGAAGTGCCATACGTTGGGGGACCGTTCGAAACCAAAGGAGAATGCTCTGCGCATAGAAAAAAGGGAGAGAAGGGCAAGGCGAAATGTGATATTGGCGAGTGAAGGCTCCGTCTCGTACGTGTGGGTGGAATAGAGTCGGAATAGCGAGGGGTTTTAGACTTACAGAGAATGGTTTGGCGCAATGGCCCGGTTTAAGCGAGCTGGTTAAACGACTTATCAAAGTCGAAAAAGAAGGAAATTAAGGAGAGCGTGTGCGAGGGAGCGCGCAAGACTCAAGGATCAATCTCCGAGCGAGGAAATAAAGAGTTGTTGGCCAAGTCCGGGTTCGAAGGAGTGGATGAAAAGCGAGAGCGATAGTGAGGAGGAATTCTTCCAACCAGTCTCGATCGAGGGCTTTCGACTGCGAGGTCTCGTCTTTCCCGGTTTCCTTCCGGCAAGCGATACAGAAACTGTTGTTTAGACAGATTGCGCGGGGTGTTCGTTCTTCTTGTCGAATCCCTTCCAAGAGAGCAAGATCCGAATGGGCACGGCGCTGGTTTGTCGAAGACAGACGGGGTATCGAGATCGGGGAAATGAAAGCGTATACTACCGACTCGTTTGGGTGTTGATGCGTTCAAGTAGGCAACTGGCTGGGTCTTATCCGGAGGGGGAGAAGAGAGGGCCAGCTCTTTAGTTATAGGTGTATAGGTCGGGTGGGTATTAACAAGCGGAAGGAAGGCTCGGGATTCGAAGGTTAATAGAAGAATATTATAGATCAAACTAAGACAGGAGAAAAGGAGCGACTAATAGTGATAGGTGTAAGACTGTAAGTGGGAAGACGGGCGAAAAGAGGATCGGAAAAGAAGGCAAGTATGAGGGGCGGTGCTGGACCCTGGAGAGTATAAAAGAAGAGCGGGAAGAGATCTTGCGCGCATCCTCTTCGTACCTCGACACTTCAGCACGGTCAGGTTCGGAACATCGGTAGGAGCCCAGCCGGGTTCCTTGATACACGCCTGGGTGGTGTCTGTGGCCGGAGGAGAGAAAGAAAGAAGAAGAAAGGTACCCGATGGTGGGATGTGGATCTGGGGGGTCAGGGACGGCGGGAGCGAGAACGAGCGAGGATTTTGGACTGAATGGATGAGGAACCAAGGTTGGCGGTACCTACAGCATGCCGCAGCAGGTACCTGACGTATAGTGTGTGGTGTGGGTATCTTGGGGACTGGAGGGTGGACAAGGTGTGGAGAGTCGAGTCGAGGGAATGAAGGGGTGGGGTGGGGGAGGGGGTGGGTTTGTGGAATGTGGGTTTTGGGGCGTGTGTGGTGTAAGAGCTCCAAATCCAGTACCAGCTGGCCCCAGTTCCAGACACCAGACTAGCCGGGGTGGGCCGCCCTTTCCCACATCTCTCCTCGCTGAGGCCGGGCGAGGGCGGGCTCGGAGACAAAAATAGGTTGGGAAAGGGAAGACGGCGTTGATCAAGGGTGTTGCGTCCCGTGGGGACCTACAAGTAGGCTGACAAGGATTTTTTTATCGACACCAGCGAACATGGGTGACGGAGTACCAGAATGACTGGGGTTTGTCGCAGCGAAAGTGTGTGGAAACATGTCGTCGACGATGTGGATGTGGCAGAATGCTGCCGATGGCACTAGGAGGAGCCTCAGCTTGTCACCCCCTTCCCTCGAGCTGGCCGAGGACGGACTCGACTCGAGTTGTGCCTCTCCTTTCGTGGCAAGGAGGATTGGAGAAGGGGGAGAGATATAAAACACCTCACGGCGCTGTAGCAGCTAGGGCAAAAATGTGCGTGCGGGTACCCCAATCACGGAGGATCCGCCGTCTCAAGGCAGGGTGCTCGCACAGTAGGGTAGTGGGACGCGGATTCGCAGGCGTCATTGAGAATATTACTCGTCGGCGGCGGAAGGGCAAAAAGAATGTGAGAAACGAAACCTCCCATGCAGCGACGATTAATTGTGCATTCTGCACAGTAGATGATGCTGGCGATGTTTGGTGCGATTGGTAGGAGGGCGTTGAAGAAAAGAGGCATACATACGCGCGGGTGGAACAAGACTCGCGTGCGTGGAGGGACTTTCTGTGTCAGATATGATCCAACGGCAAGGCAGGGCCGTTTAGACACTCTAAACGGCGGTTTCCTTTAGACCTAAGGCAACAGTTCTCGCCATACAAGTAGGTGAGGAAAGTCTGTCTTTACGGGTATTGCACCATTTCTACTTGCGCAAGGGTGCAACTGGTGATGGCAGCTTAAAATCGAAAATTAAAGATTACTTGGCGGGCTCTCTGGGAGAAATCACAGAATGACTGCATACCCGTTTGGAGGTGGTTCCTTGGTACGGTGCCACAAACGGCGCCAAGTCGGGATGCAAGTTAGAGAATGGAAGATCCGGACGGAAAGTGTAAGATGACACAGAAGGGTGGGAAAAATACTCGATAGATATCAAAACAATCTTTGAGCGGTGATCGCCGAGAGAAAAAAAAAAAAAAAAAAGGTTGCTTCAAAAGGAATACGAAAACAAAGAAAAAGAAAACAAAGGCTCTTTGTAAACCTATATGGAAGCCAAGCTCGGTAGAGAGCTTGAATGCTTCAACGGAGGTGTATCACGGGCTTTTCCCCCAAAGAACTCCTGGGGGCCCTCTTTCTGGGAAAAGAAAGTCCAAGCACCCGGAGCAGTGGTTCTAGACCCTTGAAGGGTGCAATTACGGCAGGCCCGAGTCTGCGCAGCCCAGTTCTACACCTGCCCCATTCGGGCCACATCGCACCTTCCGTGCGCTGCGATCAAGTCAATTGTGAGGCAAAGGATACAGAACGCCCTTGCCATCTCACCACTTGTCTGACCCGACATTGTCGCGGGGCAGTACCGTAGATCGCGTATCCGAGTGTTTCCTTGCTTGTGACCATACTCCCCGTCTTCTTCTCGATGGAGACAGGGGAGAGAGATCTCAGGAAGAAACGCATCATGAAATAACATTTTGATCTCTCAAACACGACCCTTCGATCACCGAGGATGATGCAGAGAGTTCCACTTAGCACCATTCTTCAATCCCACCCTCTCTGGTTTTTCTTACATGTAATCGGTTACCTTGATGGATAAGTTGTGGGGTGCACAGTGACCTCACTCGTGTATTATTGAACAATTGGTAGACTGAGGGAGAGATCCATGGATGGATGCTCCTCGTCCTGCGTAGGCGCCAACCACACGGCTGGTGTCGAGGGTTGTGCCGGTGCACCAGGGGCTTGGCACACCCAGCACCACCAAACTTACTTTTCTGCCTCGAAGTGGTGCCATATTATTGACGGGCTGACTCGAATCAAGGCAGAAATCATTGTGCCTCTAGCACGTCAGCGGTTCAGCTTTTCTGCGTACGTCCACATCGATGAGCAAAATTCTGGGGCCTCCAGATTCTTATTCTACATCCCGCCGCCCTCTACCAGCCTCGCCACCAGATAGGGACACTTGGCATCAGACCTCAAAGGCGACAACGTCGGCGGGTTCTTATGGCGATCGAATCGGGGCGCAGCAAGCGGGATCACCCCTTCACAAGGTTTTGGGAAAACTTGAAGAGATTTGGAGAGACGGCCTTTGCAACCCGTCTTTCCCGCTCGTGGGCTGGGGAGGGCCGTACATTCCGAGGTGGGATTTTTGGTCGCAGCCACTAGTCAGTGCCCACTGGCGGGAGGACCACACAGACGTCGGAGGTCTAGACTATGACACAACATACCGCCCAGCGCTTGGCTGTCTGCGAGGTTAATCCTTAAAAAACGCCATCTCGAAAGCCAGAGTAACAGGAAAAGAGTGGTAATGTCCCGCGGGTACCGAGATATGAGGTGGTAGCGAGAGGAAGATGAACAAGCCAAATCACCTAGCTAAGCGTCGATTATACATTCGGATCGTGAGCGATCATGTTTGGCAATGAGATCTTGGCCTTGGAACTTTTTTCGGGAGCCTTGAGCCTAGGCTTGTTCGTCAACTACCTTCTCTCTCGCTCTCTCCAGCTAATACTTCTCGGTTATAATGAGACAAACTCGAGGCAGCCGCCCGATAGACGGAACGGTGCCATGGCTAACACCGTTTGGTTGCGGACCCTGAGGAGACTGTTGGTGAGTCGTGAGTTGGATGTCCCTCTTCTATTCTATTCATGTGCTTCCTGGGACTATAACCTCTGCACATATATGGCCTTGGATAAAGGTTCGAAAATGGTGGCGTCAAGTACAAGACTCACACCTTTCGACCAGTAAGAAGACCGGGATTAGGGCTGGTTCGGGTGAATTGAAGCAGCATGCAATACCACCTTCTGACCATCGATTTACAGCCAACGTGAGCCAGTGGCAGCCGCATCCTCATGCCTCGAAATTCCGTAGTGCGACAGTGGTCAATTAATGTTCCCCTCCGGCCCTCGAAATCCACGCGGGCGAGGAGAAAGGCGGTTCGAGGCATCCATTCGTCCTTCGCTCTTTCGTTCCCAAAAGGAGTCAATCAACGAGTTGAGGACTGTGGCTGGGCTCCGGGTCACCCGCGCAAGGTTCGATGTCAGGCCGGATTCGGGGTTTTACTGGACAACAGGCCCTGGACAGGGTGCACGATTGTTTCATCGCAAGGATGGAACCGAACAGCAGACTCGGCTGGATGAGGTTGGCCGAGGGAAAGGAAAAAGGATCGAGTGAAGGAAAAGCCAAGAGCCCCTCTTCTCTTTCCTCCTCCTACTCCCTTTCTCAGCTTGCTGACCGAGACGTACAAGTAGGCGCAACTGTGCTTGTTGGCCGAACGACTTGACAAAG